TGTTGGCTGGGTGCTGTCAGGCTTGCACCTGGCACGGGCACCGTAGCCAGCCCGTGCCCCTTTAAGAGGTCCGGGGCAGGGAGGGGGGCATAGAGTTTCCCTGGTGTTGGCCAGAGTGGCCACCAGAGAAACCTGGGGAGGGCTAGCCTCCCACTAGTTCGAATTAAGGGGCTACACACCCCTTAATTCGAACTAGTTATTTCAAACTAGGCTTAGTCCTCGTAGAATGAGGTTTACCTAGTTCGAACTAAGCGCTCCGCTAGTTCAAATTAAGTTCGAACTAACGGATCGCTAGTGTAGCGCCTATCAAAGTTAATTCGAACTAACATTTGTTAGTTCGAATTAACTTTGTAGTGTAGACATACCCTTGGAGAAGACCTTTCATTCTGATCTCACATGGGCACGTCTATCCTCAGCTGGGGTAAACTGTCAGAGTCCCATTGAAACAAATGGACCTATACTGAGGTTCTCTCCCAGGAACCCTTTCCAAGGCTGGTCACATACAGCATTTTAAAATGTAGGTAGATACATGTCTTCTTCAGTCTGCACAGTAGGGAGGACATCTCTACTTTAAAGGAAAGAAGAATACTTGTAAGGGAATGCAGAGCTTACCTGGCCAACAGGAGCATATATAATTCCCAGCATTGTCCACACAGGTAGCATTATTGTGGCATGGTTCTGACTGGCATAAGGGAATTAAGATTTCACATTGCAGGCCTGTAAATCCACTACTGGTACAGTTGCAGCTGTACCTGCAATACAAAAGGCCAACATTGAGTCCAACTAGAAGTATATCTTTGGACTGATGTACTTTTACAGTGAAAACATGTTCTACAGCATACTGTGCTGAGATAACCTATTTAAAAAGGACACTCTTTTTAAAAGTGAAAGGGCAGGCCCTGTGCCTCCTTTTGTGTTTGTACAACATGTAGCACATTGTGGGCAAAATGGAAAATAAATCAGAATAGTATTTCTTATTGTGTAAAAGCACAATGCCTTGCAAGCCTGACACACTCATAACACTTTCAACAAGGGACAGTGTTTCCCAAGCACTGGGTCTTTTGGGGAAAGGAAGAGGACTGGGACTCAGGAGATCTGAGTTCAGTCTCTGGCTTTACCACAGACTTCCTATGCCACCTTGCAGAAGCTTTGGTGCCTCAGTTCTCTCTTTATAAAATGTAACTAATAATATTTCCTTTCTTATACCTGCCTATGTCTTATGTAAGTTGTAGGGATACTTCTGAGAATGTGGAGGGCTAGCACAATGAGGCCCTAAACTGAGGTGAGGCCTCTAGGTGATATTGAAAGAGAAATAATACTAATATATCAGCTGTCTTCCATCCTTGTGTATGAAGATGAGATATGAACATATGCAACAGTGAACTGTCTGCAGGCAACTGATAGTTGTGCTGATTTCAGAAATGGCATCTGTGTTGCATTACACACCGTGCCTTGTAATTGCACCATGATATGTCATACCTCCTGTCTTCCTGCCATGATCCAAGACCAAGTAAGCATGCAACACATGTCCTACAGAAAGACAGGCCTCTTCAATATGGCTAAGTTATAATATGGTTGTTAGGGTGATTTGCATTTCATCTTTATTTAGTAAGAACTTAAAAAACAACAAATAGTCTGGTAGCACTTTAAAGACTAACAAAACATGTAGATGGTATCATGAGCTTTAAGACTACAAAACATGTAGATGGTATCGTGGGCTGTGCCCCCAAAAGCTCATGATACCATCTACGTGTTTTGTTAGTCTAGAAAGTGCTACCAGACTATTTGTTGTTTTTTAAGTTTTTCCTGTTACAGACTAATTCGGCTACCCCCTGAAGCTTTTTATCTAGTAAGAACAGGGAACTTGTGCATGTCTCAGAAAATAAATTAATTCAGATACTATATTAGATTTCCTTTATTTTGAAAAAAAAATCCATTCTTCATGGATGAAGAATCTGATTGAACATGACATTTCTAGCCTTGGGATAAAAAACTACACGTGTTTTGTGATGTCAGGATTTAACTCCAAAGTCTTATTCTGGAGAAGCAAGAAATGCTGTTGAACATCAGAGCATAATGCAACATTTCCACTGTAGTATGAACATTCTACAGTATTTCTTTGAATGGTAGAAAAAAAATTCACAAATCCATTCTTATTGTGTGTAACACCACAAAGACCAATGGACATTGGACTGTAGTGGACCACAGATTAACTCAGTCCAGTGTGTCTGGAATCTGGGAAATTAAATGTGGTAAGAAGGACTCCTCTGATCAATTAATTGATTTTTGGCCTGAGAGAAGCTCTTAAAAATATTCTCAGAAAAGAAAAGACATTTTTCTTTGGTTGGTTTTCCCTATGTTTCCTAGACACATTTTCTGCTTGGTGAATATCTGTGTTTTGAGAATGAGTTTATCCCCTGGCCACGCAATCCTCTCTTCTCCCTTGACCCGGAAATGAAGTCATAGTGAATTTTCAAATAGCATTGCTTGAACTGCCAAATCTGCATGTGTGCTCATTTTTCACATACACTCAATTGTTACACATTGCAGTGCTTTGCTAGGGGATCCTCAAGGGTGACTTGTATAGAGGATTTGGTATGTATACTCAGTCAACACAGGGCAGGATGGGTAGAAAGCCAAGTGAGGCTCAAAATTCCCCATCCATACGTGCTGAGGGCTGAGATTTCCTTGGTATACGCTCTCAGAGAAATTGCCGTGTTCCCTTGAAAGCTCATCACACCAATTTTACTTGTGGCCCTCTGCTTCAGGTTCTCCTAATGTACAAAATAGCTACCTGTCCAGAGCAGTGCCTGTTTTAGGACTGACCCAAATCCCACTGCAAGTATTTCCATTGGCTTCAATGGGCTTTGGTTCAGGTCCTTTGAGCGCACACAGCTATACTTTGTGTGTGCACTTGCTACTATTTTGTGGGTACCAGTAGAAATCAGCAGACACTCTTCTGACATCAGTGTAGTTAGAGGGGTGTGAAATTGGTTTGAGAAGAAAGTTGGGCGTGGGGTGTCAAGTTCTGCCCTATATTACACCCATGTAATCTCATTGAAGGTAACAGAACTTCAAATCTGAATACGAGGGCAGAATTTGACCTAGTGTTTGAATAAATAGCTCATAATGCTAAATCTGTGACTTCACACTCAAGCGCCTAGCAGCAGCTTGTCCATTAAAGGATTATAATTTCACTTCAGGATGAGGCAGAAAGGAGGAATTAGGATGAGAAGAATGAAAGCCTTCTTCTAACTCAAACATCTTCATATGAGGTCGGGTAGCAGAAAATGACTGGCTAACTATCCTCACATTTCAAATTTGCTCTGCTGTCCAACCAACTTTTTTTTCTAATTTTTAATGTAATTAGTGCAGATCCTTTTTTATTATGATTACCAAACTGACCTGCAGATACACTGCAGTACAATCAGTCACTTCAAACTATTCTTACATGTGCCGCAGTTTTAGTCTCCAGTAGGCAAATGAGTGTGATCTAGTCTGTCAAGAATGAGTGTTATTGCTGCTCACAATATGTGTGTGTCCTCAAAAGGTCTCAGACTTTCTAAATGACTCTGCCGAGAGGCTCACATGCAAAATGACCTCTTTCTCTCAGTCCACTATTTTTCAGCTGCACTGGAAAATTGAGAATTGCTTTCTATTGCTTAGTCATTCAGTACTACGGAAAGGGAATTCTGCAAGGTTAGAGTAATTTTGTAATATAGTGCAAAAGTTCATTGCTAGAACATGATCTTTCTCATTTTGTGAACTGAAATCAAGCCCAGGCTTCTGATGACATAGATCTGATGGATTTCTTTTTAACTGGTACCTTTAAAATAGCTCCTTAAGAACTGAAATCACATTGTAGGGATCAATCCTGCACTGTCCGATGAATTGTCTAGATGAACTAACTGATATTTTCCATCCTAATTTCTAAAATACAGATTTTACTTTTGCATAGTTTCCCCTCTTTTGTCATCATATGTCCCATAGGTAAAGCTATCATCAAAGAGCTGAAACCTGGAGAGAGGGGTTGGCCTGTCTACTTTTCACTTGGATCTCCTTGTTAGTTTTAGCAGAAGGAACTTGTTTGTAAGCTGTGTCATTTTCCCTTATTTTTCCCCTGTCTTTTGTCTATATAGATTGTAGGCTATTTGGGTCAGGGGATGTTGTCTTATGTGCCCGTAAAATGCCTCACACGGGCTACATCTAGACCGCAAGCTTCTTTTGGAAGAAGTTTTTCCAGAAGAGATCTTCCAGAAAAGCTTATTTTGAAAGAGAGTGTCCACACAGCAAAAGCACAACGAAAAAGCAATCTGCTTTTTCAAAAGATAGTATCCACATTGATTGGACGCTATCTCGCATTTCAGTTGTGATTAGTCTGGATGGAGTGGCCACCGGGGCAGCTGTGTTATTTCCTGGAGGCCTCTTCTTTTGAAAGAGCTTCCTCTTCTGCATCCACACACGCCTTTTTCCAAAAAAGCTTTTTCGGAAAAAGGCTTCTTCCTCATAGCATGAGGTTTACCGCTGTTGGAAAAACCCCTCCATGCTTTCAACTTTCTGCCAAAAGAACTCAATGGCAGTGTGGACGCAAGTATTGTTTTTCTGGAAAAACATCCATTTTTTAGATGCATTCATTTTGTAGCTGCACCGATATTTCTTCCTAATGATGTATCTTGCTACGGCTACTATTACCCGATATTTCACTATTCTTTAATGTTTCTATTCTTCCAAAGTGAAGAGTTGAACAATGCCAACATGTTGTATTTTGTACACTTCCTCATCTTGATTAAGAAACTGAAGTTTTGGTGGATGACTGTGGTTTTCAAGATTTGTTTTATCCAAATGGTGCAGAAGTCACCTTTATATCATAGTTGTGCCGAGCTGACTGACCAGTGCTTTGTAAGGTACAATGTGAAGAATCCACCTTGCAGTCAGTCTTTCCAGCAGACTCCCATCAGTTTACCAGCTCTGGGCCCAATCTTGCATTTCTTAGTGCACCCAAACTTGCATTTAAGTCAGTACAGGATTGGGCTCTCTTGGTAAATGAAATCAATAGTTTAACAGCTCAGCTGACCATGTTCCTCTTATATCGAGTGATTCATGTTCAAGTTAAATAGCATTGGACCGTCATGTGAATAAGTTACTCTATATCTAAGATACATACCTATTGACATCATCTATACACTGTCCTCCATTGAGGCATGGATGACTAGCACACTCATCAATGTTGATTTCACAGAGCTCCCCTTGGAATCCAAGTGCACAGGAACAAAAATAGCTACCCAAAGTATCATGGCAGGTTGCACCATTTAGACAAGGCTGTGACAAACACTCGTCAATTTCCAGCTCACAGTTTACACCTTTAAAAAAAATTTTTAACAAAGTGTTAATCCTTCTGGTTTTCTCAGAGAACACTTTAAACATCATTTTTATGTAAGCTTTCTTCAAACAAGTATCTCTTTTAGAAAATCGATTATATTTTTGCAGATTTGGTGGAATTTACAAAAAAGAACAGAACAGCTTCCATTCACAAGGAATAATTATAATCACATCTTATTATTTAAATATTCATATGGAACCTGAATCCTTTAATTTTCAGATTACTGACACCTTGTTACAATTGCATTTGTATTCGATAACATCTGTGAGGAATAAGTCACTAAAAGCAATTCTTTCAATATTGGTAGGCCTAACAGTTGAATTAATTGGAAGATCATCTCATTTACCCCCTGCAATTCATAAATATGCTAGCATGTGGGATGCCTTGTTTACAACAGACCGGCTGTTTCAGTACTATATTCTAACAGCTGTTCTGGGGTGCTCTGCAAAATCAACTCAACTTGCAAGTACATTTACCCATATTTAGGATATTCTGCAGATTTAAAGAAGGCCCCTTCTATTTATTCCAAGGGATGCTGGTAGTATTTGCTAAGTAATGTTTTTCTTTTGAGCAGGAAATTTTCCAAAAATACCTTTTTAATGCCATTGCTATCCTGTTAGCTAAATGGAAAGCAGGAGATTCCACTGAAAACTATGATTATATCATCCAAATTTGGTAACTCACGTTTATTCAATGGATATATTGTAGCTGGCAGACTACTTGTAGTGGGCAGTTTAAAATAATCAGGAAACATAATATTTATGACTAAAAAAACCTAAATTAGAAGTGCATAAAAATAACAAAATCTGGCACCTGGAGCAACATCTAAAAAGTGATCTCTTTGATTGGCTTTGCAGAAAAATGAAAGGCTTCCTTGTTCTTAACAGTAATTCAAAGAAAGCATATGTTTTTGTAGAGGTCAGAGTTCAAATCCAATTTTCTGTCTTGCTTGGTCTCATTCAGAATCCAGCCTTCATGGTTGAGACCTATGGTATTAGACCTATTTTATTAATTCTAATGTAGGGACGGTATCCATTCCACACAAAAAATAATGTCTATTATTTAAAGACTAACAAGAAACCATCTTGTTAGTCTTTAAAGTGCTACATAGTCCTGTATTTTGTTTCAGCTACACCAGACTAACACGGCTACATTTCTACCACTATTAGAACAAGGTGTCGCTAAACATAATGTGGTTTTACTTATGGTGTAGATAAGTCTTTTAAGATCTGTAAATTCAGAATGTAGAATCATCACATAAAAATTAGGGTGGCTCCTCATATTCTTTCAGAACATAAAAACCCAATAACCTTAGAGCAGATATTCAGCTAGTATAAATCAGAACAATGATGATTTACAGTAGATAAGGATCCAGTCCACTTAGTTTCAAATTACAAACGTTGCCTCTCTTAAAACTTGGAGTCTGCTCCTGCTCTCAGTTTTGCCAGGCTAGATAATTGGGGTGCTGAGGCAGTAGGCTTCTACCCAACACATCAGTGTTACTCAGAGGTGAAAGTAAGAGGGTGCACCCTGGTGGGCAACTCCAGCAAGAGCTGGCTGAGCTGTGGCAAAAGCCAGCAGGGTGCTGCTGAAAGAGCTGGCAGGGACCCGGGTTGCAATAGGACAGTCCCTGTAAGAGATTTTAAATTACTTTCACCACTGGTGTTACCTTGTCATTCTCTCTTTGTCCCTGGCTGCTTCATCCACCTCTCTTGTCATATGATTTTGACTGAGAGCTCTTTAGGGCAGAGATTGTCATTTTGTATTTATTGTGGGCACAGTAACTAGCACAGTAGGGTCCTGAGTAAGACCTCTGGGTGCCATCATAACACATAATCATCATCGTCATCATCATTACTGAAGTCAGTGGGTAAACTTCTATTAACTTCAGTAGAAACAGGATTGGGCCTGTAGGTCCTGATTCTATACCACTAAAGTTATTGGGAGTTTTATGCCTATCTATAATTCCAAAGTGTTCTCTCTTGCTGCTAGTGTACCCTGCTCTTCTGTTGAAAACTGAAGCCAATGGGGATTTTGTCTCTTGTGAATTCAGGCTGAGGTTCTCAAAGAGTCCATAGGAGACTTAAATGCCCAACTCCTTTTGACTTGCAGTGGGAGTTGGTCATCTAACTCGAGAAGATACTTGAGTTCCTGTTGATTCATGGCACTTGGTGTTACCCAAAGAGACCATGTGAACACATTACAGCTCCAGAAGATGGCCAGTAGACCATGTTCTCTCCTCACTGACCCCTGGACGCATGTTCTTACATCTTGATTTAAAGCTGCTGGCCTCATCTTCTTTAGTCAAGGCTAGATTGTAACCCAGAAGCCTGAATGAGCACTTTGGAGGGAGGTGTAAAATATGTGTGTACGTCAGAATCCTTGTGGAGACTCCCCGACAGTATTCATCACTGTGACACTTATATCACCTTTGAAGAGGGTGTGGTATGCACCTCCTTTCACACTTGCCCCACCCTCAGGCAGCCCATACCAATACAGGCACTAGGATGGAGTGTGGCATCTGTTCTTCAGCCATCCTATGGCTGTCCTCTTCAGGAGATGGAGCATTGACCCTTTTCCCTATCTTTAAATTGCCTATCTCCTAGAGCTGGAAGGGACCTCGAGTCCAGTCCCCTGCCTTCACAGCAGGACCAAGTACCATCCCTGACAAATTTTTGCCCCAAATGGCCTCTGCAAGGATTGAACTCACAACCCTGGGGGTAGCAGGCTAATGCTCAAACCACTGAGCTATCCCTCCCGAAGCTTGAGTTTAAAATAAGAGTCTAAGGTAAAACTAATCACTTGTTTGCTCATCAGTGCCTGGAGTTCCTTTTGTCTTTCATTTGCCTCTTCAGTCCTGTGGTTTGGCAATGTTGAGATACACGGGGGGCAGACGTCTGGATTTGGACTATTGTTCACTCTCATAAACCAGCTGATGGGGAGTTCATCCTCCTTGTTTCAGGTCTGTTCCCTGATGCATGGTGCTCTGACCTTGTTTGCCGAGGATTTCAGGGAAATTGCCTACTTGTACTCAATTACTGGTGTGACATTGCTGGAGATTTAGGAGGTCTAGGCAAGGTTTGGTGCCATAGTGATAACACCAGCATTCTTTCCACTTCAGTGCTCCCACTCTGGCCAGGACAAGGACTAATGCAACAGAAGGGGATTTTCCTAGAGCTCCCAGAGTGACTTTGATTTTCCATGCACACTATTCTGTTTTCTGAGAATTAGAGTCTGTTGCATTTTGGGTGCGTCTAGACTGGCAAGACTGTGCACAAAAGTGGCCGCTTTTGCGCAAAAACTTGCCAGCTGTCTACACTGGCCACTTGAATTTGCGCAAGAGCACTGACTTTGTAATGTACAAAATCAGTGCTTCTTGCGCAAATACTTTGATGCTCCCGCTCGGGAAAAAGCCCTCTTGCACAAGTGTTCTTGCGCAAGAGGGCCAGTGTAGACAGGGAAGGAATTTTTTGCGTAAGAAAGCCCCAATGGCAAAAATGGCCGCCAGAGCTTTCTTGCACAAAATCGCGTCTAGACTGGCTACAGATGCTTTTGCAAAAAGCACTTTTTGCGCAAAAGCACTAGTGCCAATCTAGACGCTCTTTTGCAAAAATACTTTTAACGGAAAAACTTTTTCGTTAAAAGTATTTCCGCAAAATCATGCCAGTCTAGACGCAGCCTTTGAGTTTTGTTTTTGCTGAAGTTTGAACTCATGCTGAATGTCACGAGCTCTATATATCTGACTAACCTCCATGCCCAGTTAAACGTAAGTTTCACCACAAATAGTTTTGCCAAACAATACATAGATCCCTTTTATTCGGATCCATTTAAAAAATCACATTTGATTCAATAGCTACTGGCATTAATGATTTGGGGTTTGGTAGCCCCTACTCAAGGACCTCAAAGTGCTGCCTCAGCCTGATCCTCTGCTATTAAAGTCAGTGTGAGCAGGATTGCATCCTACCCATTCAAACAACTTACGTTTACCCAGGGTCCAAAAGTTAATGATACTGCGCAGAACAGAATCCAGGCTTGTGCTGCTATGACAAGGCCATGGTATAGCCTCTGCAAATGCCATACAAATACTGCCCATAGAATCCTGTTTTCCTCCACAAACCCATTTGTTGGCTTTTTTTTTAAGTACTAGGGGGGCTGTGTGCTTCATTTTAGCTATGATAGGGGATGTCTGCACTAATCTTGATGGAAGCAGCAGTGAGAACAGTGCAGTGCTCTGACCACCAGCTGTTTATCTCCTTACCAGTTGTTCACGGACAAAATAACTGTAGCGTTGTATTCAAATCTATGGCATTTGAGAGCTCCACAGTTGGGATTGGTCCTGCTTTTAGTAGGGCGGTTGGACTTGATGACTTGAAATCTCTTCCAACCCTATGATTCTATAATAAATATGAATGATGTTGAATCAAATCAGTTTCAGCAAGTATTCTGCTTGCAATTATCAACCATTGGTAACAGTACACCTTATATCATGACTTTAACCCTCATTAATGTTTCTTATATAATGGGAAGCTCTAATTGGAAAAACAGTTGTTGCTGGAGCTCTGATTCTGAAAAACACAAAAATGTTACAAGAGCAGCCAGAGGCAGGGAAAAAATCAATTGAAGGTCAGAAGATGGCAACGTTTGTAATACAACACATTTTAGAACATTACATTTGTTCCAAAGAGGTAATTCAGACATTTTAAGGGCAGTTTGAAGACTTGATTGGAAAACTAAATAGTCCTTGCACAAATCATCTGTTTTGTCATAGCCCTCTGCTTGCCAAGATAACTTTAAAAAGCTTTTTATAATGTGTCTACAGTCTACATCAGTGGTCAGATTTAAAACAAGGTTGTAGAACATACTAAATTCCATATCTGAACATGCCCAAACCTTGGGGAAGTTTAGTCTGGACTCATGTCCATGTCAGTTAAATACATGGCATCAGCACCATTTAACATCTACCTTAAATCTCAATGTATC